TTGAATCATGTGTTAGTCCTGAAATGACCTAGTTTGTATCGAGTGGACGTTAAACCCCATTTTTTTCTCTCTCTCTCTTGGTCTTTGTTATTAGAAGTAAAAAGTTATGTTTCAATTTTAGTAAATAATCATAGCTGATATTATAGGTGATCTGACTAACATTTAATTTTGACTGCTATCAATTAGATGACACTTTGTGTCTGCCCTCATTGGTAGAACATTGGTGTCACCTCTGTTCGACAGTCCGTTCATAGTATTTCAAATTTATTTTTCAAACAAGCAGGTATTGGTCCAGTCAAATTCACCATCTGATCACCTAGCTGTGAAGTGGAACCGTATTAAAACTCTGCGTCGGCCATAATTTTATGTATGGTTTGTGCCCTGGACACATGAGAACATGAAATCCACTGTTGTAAATGCTGGTGGTTGATATACATTTATTGTCTGGTAATGGTATGCTTCACAATATTATGATCCTTATTTTATTATCAAATGAAGACAAATCTAATGGGACTTGCTCAGACAGTTAATGTTTTTAAACCAGATTGATTGAATAAAAATCTCATTAATTAGATTATGAAACACCAAGGAATCACTTTAAGACTTGTTTGTTTGTAAGATAATTGGTTTGACATCAAGAACTGGGCCCCGAGTTAACGCAAGCATTTTCAGACCTAAATATGCATTATGCAAGAGCCAAGTCTGTCTATTGCAGGTCTTCCTTTAGACCTTAATTGTTATATAAACTATTAACTAGACATTTATTAACATGACAAGACCATATATAAGTCTGATTTTAAGTAGATTAGAACAGTTCAGCTATTACTGATTTAATCTAAATATGGTGAAGAGAGGCTACGCTTCGAACAACCAGTATGGTGGTTACAATCAGTGCACACATCTTATCAAATCTTCAAAGGCTAATATCTTCGCTCAGAATAAAGTAATTTGAATGAAATTTTCAATATATTCATTTTTCATTATCTATTTTTGAACTATTATAGCAAGAATGGTCAGCTCTTTATCTAAATTTGACATAATGTATCTTTAAGTTAAGAATTTACTCAACTTTCAATCACTGTGAGAATTATCCAGAAACACAAAACTTTGCACATAGTTTTCTATTGATGTATTTGATACATTAAAACATGCAAAGTTTTAGTTTTATAAAGGACTATTTTTTAGGTAAAATAAGGCGGACACCTTTCGGTAAATTCTTAACTTTTGAGAATGCTTTGTGAAATCAGAGCCTGGTTTATACTCATTGAACTCTATTTTCTACTCCATCCTCCTGAACTCCATTTTCTACTCCATCCTCCTGAACTCTATTTTCTACTCCATCCTCCTGAACTCCATTTTCTACTCCATCCTCCTGAATTTCAGATAAACTGTTTGAAATCATTGCCATTTGTAGTATGCAGACAGTGTCACACATATTATCTCCCTTTCTGCCTTATTGAACGTCTAATAGGAATATCAATCCAAAATTGTTTCATTCCTTTCAGTATTTACAAAGATATCATAAAGTGAAATTCCATTCATCTATACTGTCCCTTTAATTCCTTTCAGTATTTACAAAGATGTGATGAAGTGAAATTCCATTGATCTATACTGCCCCTTTACTTGTTTAAATCCTTTCAGTATTTACAAAGATATGATGAAGCGAAATTCCATTGATCTATACTGTCCCTTTACACTTTACTTTTTCTGTTTTCTCTCTTCTGGTTTCTTTTTCTTGACAATCCTGCACCATTTAATAAGCAACTTGGTCTACCATTCTAATTTTCTTATTCATTGGAAACCTTATAGTACTAGATAACCAATTTGTTTTGAGATTGGAATAAGTCAATCTGATTAACACACAGATCCTTTTTCGTTTCGTTTTTATAGTTCAAAATTTCGTTTTACTTGTCTTAACTACACAAGGATCTGGAAGAGTTGTTATCATTGACGTGTTCTGAATGATGTGAGCAGCTATTAAGCAATGAAACGGTCTGTTACGGCGTGTTTTGAACAGAACTGTGCGTAATCCACTAGCAACATCAATGCTGATTGGTTAATCAAATGTCTGACGTCATAAGGTGAAAAGCCGCTTGTATGACCTCTGACACGACCTATCACTAAAACCGGTCAGATCTTCATGTAGTGTAGGCCATCGTAAGTATAAAAAATGAAACGAAATATAGATCTGTATTTTTCAGATAGGGAATAAGTAATCTAATTAATCTCTAGAAATCATATATAAACCAGGAAGAGATATATAAATATATCTCAGCAAATGTGTCCTAACTCGGCAACGCACTTAAGAAACTCCCTAATACAATAAAACTTTTAAATCATCCACGTTCACAGGAGTACGTTATTATTGATTTGAGTTTTATTTATGGACTACAAAAAAATGTTGATGTGATTTTAAGTGTATCTAAAAAAATCTTCAGCAGGATATTACCTATATCTATTATAACACCATGTAAAAATCAAAAGATGTAACAAAATATACAAAAACAATTAACTTTTGAATATTACTCGATTCATTACAGTTATTCCCCCTTGAGATCTCTGAGTTTGACTAGTTTGTGCTTGATACAACAATAAAAAGATTGGATCCTTCTATAACGGATGTTTTTCTGAATTTCCACTGAATACCATAGTTGATCTGATCGGTGCTTTCACTTTAGTATTTTGTCAGACACTGAACTTTAGTAAATGAAATAGAATTTAACATCCTACTGTTATGCACCGACTGGGCTATTAAAGACAGGCAGATGAGGGAAATTTTGCCCAGATGGCGGGACTATACGGCCATCTCTTATTTCGTATTCCATCTGTGAAGGGTACTTTTACGCTCACACAAATGTGGAACGGAACCTCAGACTTTTGTCCAATACAAACAACAAAACCTTGTCCCTTAATTGGCAGGCTCTCTGTTCTGTACTGGGGGGTTGGATGGCTGAATGGTTAGCACATGCACGCTGTATTATAAGGTCTGTTTTTGAGTCAACTGGCGTGGTTTCGATTCCCCGGTTGTATGTGACAAGGAGTAGGGTCGCCTGTCTAACCTCGTGGGTTTTCTCCCACTGCTAAAGACACCTGCGCGCAAGCGAATTATTGAAATAAAATTGAACCATATGTTAGTCCCGAAATGACCTAGTTTGTGTTGAGTGGAAGTTAAACCCCATTTCTCTCTCTCTCTCTCTCTGTTCTGCACCACTGAAGACGGGTGGAGTAGACAAACAACAAATATAGCTGAATGTAATGTTGATTGGACTGACCATTTAGGACATAATGACAGCATTGTTACGTTATCATCATCCCACCATTCATCATTCATTGTTTATTAGTGGAGTGTATTGTTCGACAAACGCCCTCGTTTCAAGATAATTACCCCATAGTCTGCCGCCATTATGTTAGAGAACAAAAATGTGTATTACGGTTGATGTGATTGGTTGCATTTAATCCATTAATTTCCTGTTGACATCAAAAAATTTTTTTAACCCATTTACTATAAGTTTACTAAGCTACTTATGGAGCTTACTAAAATAATATATATAATATGATCTTAAGTTTACTTCAAATCCTATATATGCTTTTATTTCCATTCGCATGTCCAACCTCGTGGGTTTTCTCTGGGTCCTCCAGTTTCCTTACACTGCTAAAAACCCTACGCGCAAGCAAATTATTGAAATAAAATTAAACCATATGTTAGTCCCAAAATGACCTAGTTTGTGTGGAGTGGATGTTAAATTCCATTTCTCTCTCTCTCTCTTTTTATTTCCATTTAGGTTATATCAACCTCATGTATACTTTAGAACAATCTGCATAATTAATATAATGAACTTTGGTTACTTTCCGTGATCAGTTCCATTAGCTCTTGGTTAAAGTTGAAACTTATGTCTGTGATGAACAAAGATCAAATAACATGTATGGGGAAGTGTTTACATTTATATTCAGACAGCCAAATTCGCTCATCTTACTTTAATCAATAGTGCCTCAATTTACACAACATTTTTGTAACACCAGTTTTATTTTATTCTCAAATTTTTGATGGAATGCCAAACTTCTTAAACCTTACTCATAAAATACACTTCCAATTATTTTTTCCCCATTCATTGCAAAAAATTTGCAAGCATCCATTTCCCTTGACACCCAACAGATTGCAAACTTCATTGACTTCTTACAAATAATTCTTACCAAAGTAACCAATTTTACATTTACTATTACATGATTTACCGATAAAGCTCCTGGGTAATCTTCTGACCCTCCCCATACCCCACCTCCTAAAAATAACATAATGCTGATATTTTTCAACTTTGGAAGTTGTTTGGCAGACTCTTGGGTCAACAATTTTCTGAACAAAGAGTTCCCAGTTTACATATAGCTGTTGGGATGATATAAGTATTTCTGTAAATATATGTATTGAAGTTTTGTCGTTAAGAGGGCATATGACTTTATTTTTTGGAACAATAAATGGGTCTAAAAGTACATATTAATGTAATATGAGTGTATTTCAAAAGAATTGTAATTTCTAATCAATGATGTTCGATGCAATATGTGAACAGTTTAAACTGATCGACAGTCGTTTAAGCCTGCATCGTCCATTCTAAACGTTTTTTTCGTGTCATTATCATTTCTGAATCAGCCAATACTATTTACTGTCACATTGTAATTTAGGATATGATTTTCTTTGTTCATTGATTTTGTGCCCGAAATGATAGATTACATGACTTGTGTACGGATTATAAAATGTTCCTTGTGTCTCAGATATTGGATATTAGGATCTCACAATTTCACGGCAACTTCAATATGGATTGAAATGGACCACTATTGAATTCTAATTTGTGTTTTTAATTTTGAATATTATCGAAAATATTGAGTTAGAGACTTCGCACCTTTAATAAGAATAAACAGAAGGCACGATACACTGGGTAAAATAGTATCTATTTATTTTAAGACTGTTTTTTAAATACATTGAATAAAAATATTGCTTTTTTTCTTGACAGAAACCAGAAAGATCATGCAGTTTACCTATTCTTCATGCAGGAGCTGGGAGATTCCGCCATGGTATGTTACAACTCATGATTCATACAATAGATCCAATTGGAAACGGTGACAGTAAGTAGCTATTATGTAGCTATCTCTTACTATTCTCGTAGATTAGAATATTGTATCAGTCTCTATTTCCACACACCTTTTAAAGATGCATTATGTATGAGCTAAATCAGCCGATTGCGGGTCTTTCTTCTGGCTTCAAATGTTATATAAATTACTGTTTAGACATTTATTCACATGGCAAGTCGATATATTTATTTTTTGTTATCTATTTTGTAACTATTACAGCAGGAACAGCCACCTCTTTATCTAATTCTAACATAATGCATCTTTAAATCTGTGAAAACTTGCCAGAAGTAAAATCGTGTCTATAATGAATACATTATTTGCGATAATTGTGACACATGGAATTCACTTGCTCTTGGGGGTAATCTCAATCCTATATTTGAAAGATTAGGAGCAAAATATTGAAAATTGCTTTAAGCTTATAGCCCACACAGATTTTGCTTGTTGAACCGACCAGGCAATGTGGAACAACCAACGGTGCTGTTGGAATAACAATGATGAGTGCACAAGCAATTTGTAGGCAATGGTTCAGGGATTGCTACTGCAATGGCCATGGATTTAAATCAATCTGATGAAAATACAGATCTATATTTCGTTTCGTTTTTTTTATACTTTATACTACATGAAGATCTGACTGGTTGTAGTAAAAGGTCGCGTCAGAGGTTGTACAAACAGCTTTTGACCCTATGATGTCAAACATTGATTAATCAATCAGCGTGGATGTTTTTAGTGGTTTACCAACAGTTCCGTGCATCACGCGCCAAGAAGTCGCCGTAACAGATGGTTTCATTGGCTAATCCCTCACGCCATCTAGAACCCAGGTTATATAACAACTCTTCCAGACCCTAGTGTAGTACAGACAAACAAAACGAAATTTTGAACTATAAAAAAACGAAATAGGATCTGTGTTTTAATCAGATTGGATTTAAATCTATTTAAGGCAGACCGCCATATTTTAAGATCACATGTCTTAGCTTTTGCTTGTTTGTTTTTTTGTTTGTTTGATATTTAGCATCTCTCTCTCTCTCTTTCTCTCTCTGTTTTCATAAATGATATTTGTTTTCTTTTATTAGTGATATTTAGCATCTCTCTCTCTCTCTCTCTCTCTCTCTCTCTCTCTCTCTCTCTCTTTTCTCTCTCTGTTTTCATAAATGATATTTGTTTTCTTTTATTAATGATATTTAGCATCTCTCTCTCTCTCTGTTCATAAATGATATTTGTTATTTGTTTTCTTTTATTAATGTTTTATGATGAAGGCAGAAGCCTATATCTTATATATGATTCCTTTTACCATATAACTCTCATTAGACTCAGATCCTCATAAGATTTAAAGAGAATTTATTTTGTAAGTCGTTCACTTGACCAACAAACGATGACCATGTTTAGTAGTTTTATTTTCATCCATTCGACAATATAAAAGATAGTATTTCATTTGTTGCGAGTTCCCAAGCTGAGATTACAAGTGGTAATCATCATGTCTTAATTCACTGGTGAACTGCGGGGGCTTAAGAGATCAATGGCCTTTTGTGAAACACAGAAATAATCAATTCCGAACAGTTGGCCGTGTTTTTCTTTACCCCAAAAACTGCCTGACTAAAGGTAATCGTTGCCAATAATCCTAGGAACCAGGGTATATAACATTGTTCGCTCTCCTTAGTTTACAATCCCAAAAATAGAACGAATTGCCATGAAAGAGTTGAATTTCAGTCTGGTGTCGTGTATTTTCTCATTTAGACTAGCGTGTTATGCTAAACCCAAAACTCAACAACATTTCTAACCACTGATTAAATTACAGCTGAGCATCATGCAGTCCAAATGTCTGGCCAGGAAATTTCCTAACTGATGAATTAAATCTAACACACGCTATTTTATTTTTTTTTATTATATGGTGTTAAAACAAAATGGTGAAGTTACGATCTCTTTGGTCTGATATATTTAATAGAGTTGGTTAATCAGTTTTTTTTGGAAGAAGCTAGATGTAGATAAGATTAAATTTTCAGTTAATGAAAATATTTGTTTAATAATGATTAGTATTTGTATTTTGAGTTTATTGAGATATTAATTTTTCATCAAATATAGTTTATCAAGATTAAAGATACTTTATGTAAGCGCTAAATCTGCATATTGCTGGTCTTTTTTCAAGCTTCTATCGTGTTATATAAATTATTTAGACATTTATTCACATGACAAGCCTATAATCAACACTATGCCATCAGATGGCTTAGATATTTAATGGATTACAACAGCAAGATCTCTATTTAAATACAATTTTTTTTAGCTATTAGCTATAACAGGTGTTGTGTATGGGACAGGGTAAGCTTAATGTTTAGAACACCTGATTCCAATACTCAGTTTAGGAGTTCAGATACTAGTGGTTATACTTATAAGCAGTAACAATGCGTGGGGCAGATTATGCCTACCATAAGAACACCTTATAACTCTTCTCTCTTGAGTAGAATATCCACAAAGGTGGAATTAGAGATGAGCCAATATGAGATACTTTTAGTAAATACAAACACAAATACGCTTACACTTTTTTGATCACATTTTTCTGAAATTTTCAAAAAACTTATATTATGCCAAGATGAGGATCTCTATTCTTTTTGTCAAACCTTTCTAGAAAACTTTAATGTGATAGAGCCTACAGTTTTTCAAATTTGGTCTTAAGCATTAAGGTCACGAGAGGTATGATATTCAGTGTTGTGAATGTGATCGAGGCTACAATCTTTTTGCGTACCTATCTTTCCTCTGGTATTGATCAAACTTGGGTCATTTGATTGAAAGCCCAAATCTCCATATCTAGAATCGAGATAAAATTTCCCAGGATTTTACTCAGTTCATAAAAAATGGATGTCTGTTTTTCTTGTACTTTGAGAGATTTGTCAATAATAGATGATAATACGAAACCCTGAAGTCATTACACTCTGCCAGTAGTATTCATTAGGACAATTGTCTTATAACTTGGTAGTATTTCGGTACAATTAGTATGGACACTGATAAAAATGAAAAGATCATGATCTTAGTTGAAGATATTCTGGAATTCATCATCTTTCTTAGACCTATAAGAGAGATACAAACAAAACCTAGAGTCTAATTGAAATAGTATTCATGCTAACAATTTTCATACGACATATTAGATTAATTCAGCTTCATCAAGTCATCTCAATATTAGCAAGCCTCTTAACCTTATGACAAGTACATGAACAAATCAAGTGAATAGTGAGAGAAGTTGATGATAAGTGACAAGACCTGAGACTGAATACAACTCATGTCAGATAAGCTACTGTAGTACATATTGACACATATTTAAAGCGATATTCCTTTATTGATAGAAACAAATAATTTATGATGGCTTTTATACACAGTATCTTATTTTTCGATGTATTTGATGTTTATCAGCATAATCTAAGCTGAACATTAAACAAAATTGAAACATGATTAAGATTCATTACTTAGCTTTCAAATCTAGCCTTTGATTTGTTTTCTTTGTTCATAAGTATAATATGTCTTGATTAATATCTTTAAAGTTGCAATTCTTGACATAATTAACCATCCATGTTACATGGTAAAGAGGCATGTGTTGAAATTTAGAACTGATCTAAATCATGGTGAGGGGGGTTGGATGGCCGAATGGTTAGCATGCGCATGCTGCATCATACGGTCTGTCATTGAGTCAACTGGCAGGGTTTTGATTCCCCGGTTGTACGTGACAAGGAGTAGGGTCGCCTGTCTAACCTTGTGGGTTTTCTCTGGGTTCTCTGGTTTCCTCCAACTGCTAAAGACCCCTACACTCAAGCATATGATTGAAATAAAATTGAACCATGTGTTAGTCCCGATATGACCTAATTTGTGTTGAGTGGGCGTTAAACCCCATTTCTCTCTTTCTCTCTCTCTAAATCATGGTGTCCGTAATATAAAGTAACAATTATTAAGTAACAACTGTCAACAGTTTATAGGGGTGCGGGGGGGGGGGGGGGGGCAGATGGTTTGATGTGTGTACATGATCATAGGATCTATCATTGAGTCAAGTGGCGTGGTTTTGAATTCCGGCTTTCCTTCCACTGCTAAAGACCTATACCTTATTAATATATAAAAATTGTACCACATGTTAGTCCCAAAATTACCTACTTTGTGTTGGGTGGATGTTAAACCCCATTTCTCTGTTTTTAACTAAAACACATACCATCAGAGATAAATCTAGTATCTAGCTTTAAAGTAAATTACTAGTAAATACCATACAAAATGACAAAATTTATTGATAGCTGTTGAAGTTGTTACATTGCTTGACAGACGTGAATTTTTTCTCAGTACTTGAACTAGCACTTTTAATACAAAAAAGTCAAATTGCGCAAAAAAGTCAACTCAAAAACGATTTTTGATAATGAAAACTTTGTCCTGTTTTTTACATTATATTTACCATCTTATTTGCTAAAGTTGAAAGGATAAGAGTAAGAAATCTTTTAAAAAGAGGGGGGTTGCATGGCTAAATGGTTAGCACGTGCGTGCTCTATCATAAGGTCTGTCATTGAGTCAACTGGCGTGGTTTCGATTCCTCGGTTGTACGTGACAAGGAGTAGGGTCGCTTGTCCAACCTAGTGGGCCTCCAGGTTTCCTCCAACTTCATGGTCCTCTGGTTTCCTCCCACTGCTAAAGACCCCTACGCGCAAGCGAATTATTGAAATAAAATTGAACCATATGTTAGTCCCAAAATGAGCTAGTTTGTGACGAGTGGACATTAAACCCCATTTCTCTCTCTGCTCTTTTAAACAGTAGTATTTGATTATCTATCACTATTTATGTGAGGTCATGTGGTAGGCATACTTGATAGATGCGGGGGGGGGGGGGGTATTTTTTTTTTTTTATTTTATTTAAATAATTTTGATTATAAATTGAAAGGGATTGAGGAACAGGCATAGCCTAAATGACCTCTCTCCTAAATACAAGAATACATATGGATATGTAAAAGAAATAAGTGAGTAAACAACAAAACAATACAATTGACACTTATCAACAACAATTTGTATATATACATATTTACACATTGCCTGCGCAGTTGTTCATGTTTGCAGTGTTTTGATTGAAGAATACCTGATGAAAACCTAGATTCCATTATAAAGAAAATCTAATCAATATCAATTAACTCTGGACTTGGTCACATTTATGAATGAACAGGTAAACCTTTGTGGACCTCCCCAGCCACACCTTGTTAGAAGAATTGGCTAATTATATTCATCTATTTTTTCAGCAACAAAACATGATGATGATGCAATGCACATGCATGCAATTGCAACCCTTCAAGTTCTGAAAGATTCCATCAATGGCATCCAAAATGGTGCTTTTGAGAAAGGTGACAAGGACGGCAATACCAAAATACACGTCATATCAAACGGACAAGTTTCTCCTGACAGTAATAAAAGTGGAGAGATGAGAAAGAGTCCGTCTGCTAGTCAGGAAACTACCGTAACAATGTTAGAGTCACCAGAAGAAATGAGAGAAAATGGCAAAGTGACAAGAAGGGATGTCGATATTACCATGAACAATAATAAGCCCAATGATGGTGATTCGACAAGTGACTCCAAATCAGAGGTTTGAATACTTGAGCTTTATTCCACATGTAAATCACAATAATGGCAGACTCCCATTACTCAGTCAATCACCATATATTTACAACCAATTTTGGAAATTAGAGAACTGAATACCTTGCATGATATTTCTGTGAAAAAGCTCCTGAAATGTAATTTTTGGCTTTTTTATCACTTTTCTTCCGAGCTCTAATCTTGCCAAGAAAATTTATGGTATTTATGGCAGTTTGATATGAAAGTGACAGCTTGCTAGCAATTTGAGTCTATTACGTGTTATTTAAGATTGAAGATAGTGTCATAACTTACTACAGAAATTTAATCCTGACAGATGCATTAGTGACATAAAAAAAATAGTTGTATCGATCTTTAGACGATTCTCAAAAATATTCTGAACACAAAACAATGTGAAAGATTGATAATTTATATGATAACCGATAACCGGGGCAAGAAATGTCACAACTGATTTAAAACATTCCCAAATGAGAGGCGGATTCAAGGGGGGGGGGCGAGGGGCGCGTCCCCCCCCCCCCTAATTTTCGACAGTGCCCTTTTTTACTGCTGAAAGTGCCTTTTCTCAGACCCAAATATGTCCGTTCCCAACCCATTGCAGGGATCCCAAATGACTCAAACCATCGATTCAAACACACCAGTCTGGTCTAATTAATGCTTCCACTTTCAAACGAATTCTTGTTGTTTAGCTGACGGTGCCCTAATCCTTTAGAGTGACTATAGACAGACATCTTGTGGAATCGGCGGCGTATACACTCATGCCCATCACCGACACGCATGAGTGCAACTTGATGTAGCATTGTTTCATGTGTGGACAGTACAAAGTACAAGTTACAAGGCTTAAATAGTGAAGTGGCTAGGGAATAGATAAGTCTTTTTTCCCATCATAATGCCTCGCTCGCCTTGACAATTTTTGAGTCACATGTTCAACTGGCTTTTTTGCTCGATTTTAAGGCTCTTTTTCAACGATTTCCGAACGTTTACTTTGACGAAAATATCAGCCAAATAGCTCCTGGAATGGCTAAAGATGCAAGGAAATGACGGATAATTTTCTTGCACCCCCCCCCCCCAAAATCCCCTCTCAGCTGCGTGCCCCGTCTCTGCGGTCAGTGCCCTCATTTTGCGGCACCCCCTCTGTAAATTACTAGATCCGCCCCTGAAAATGGCTTTTTTTCACAAAGAATTGTGAGCTCATATTTTGAGCTTAAAAACAAGTATAAGAACACCTATAAGGACATCTGGTCATACTAAACTTATGCTGTCTGTCTACAGACACTAAGCTGGTTGACCAACATTTTAATTCCTAAATTGATAATTATTTTAGTTGAAAACACTAAGTATACTTCAAGAATCTTGAGAAATGTTTATTCTAATTTATTTAATCTTTGTGTGTATGACATATGTAAAACACAGTAGAATTGCATTCCAAATTAGTACACTAATTTTTGGATATGGCCGAAATTTTAAGTCCTAAATCAATGATTTTAGTCGAAAACAGTAAGTATACTTTGAGAAGTATTTATTCTGCTTCCATTTACTGGAATTAAATAGGTTTATTTAGTCTTCGTGTGTATGGCAGATCAGATATGAAATGAAGTAGAGCCGCATTACAAAACAATATACTACATTGTGGATATGGCGGCCATTTAGGACAGAGATTTATTGTCGAAGTATGAAGTAGATGGAACTCTGTGCAGAATGTCAAGGTATTAGACATAATTATGTTGGCCAATGTTGACATTAGAATAGATATATGTCTGTAAAAAAAAAAAATAAAAAAACTTCATGTTTATTTGTGAGGAAAATATTTTTCTTTTACAGGATTCACCAAATTTTGAGGAAGTTGAAGAACCTATGGATTTATCGTGGCCAGAAACGTGTCGTGAAAGATTTGTCTATGTTTTGGTGGCTCCAATTGTTTTTCTCTTGTGGATAACTTTACCGGATGTTAGAAGACCGGTATGTTGATCTCTATTGATTATATTTAATAATATACCAGAAGATTGACAGCTTATTAAACTACTATATAACAAGTTTAATACTTTTATAGGGGATAGGTCATGTTAGCTAAGTGGGTAAGACACTGTCTCACTAGCCTGGAGGTAGGATGTTCTATCTCTGTATTGGACGAGAAAGTTCATCCAGATTTTCCGGCATGGTTTCCCCCTTGTCAGTGATGCAGGACTGAGGACCCGACCAGAACTGCTCTCTAGTCATTCGGATGAGACAAAAAAAACCAGGTCCTGTGTACACATTGGCATGCACATAAAAGATCCCTTGACAGTTGGAATTCGATATAAGAGTAGGCCGTAGTGCCACTGTCCGGGCAAAATTTCCCTCATAGCACATTGTATGGCATATGCCCGTCTTCATTAGCCCAGTTCGGAGCAAAGCAGTAGGACAGTAAACCCAATTTCAGGTGTCACGGTGGCAAAGTGGGTAAGACACTGGCTCACTAGCCTGGAGGTCGGGTGTTCGATCCCTGCTTTGGCCGAGAAAGTTCATCCAGATTTTCTGGTGTGGGTCCCTCTTGTCAGTGATGCAGTACGAAGGGCATGACAAGGACAGCTGTCTAGTCGTTTGGATGTCACAAAAAAAACGAGGTCCCGTGTACACATTGGCGTACACGGAAAAGATCCCTTGACAGTTTTAATTCGATATAATTATAGGGGAATGTTCAAAATTTTGTTCACTGTGTTTGTGGTATCGTAAGAAAATGTAGATATCTGATTTGGTAATTAATCTTTGCTGATTCAACAGAAACAGTTTTTTCTTATTCTTTGCAAAATACAAAGATTGAAAATGTGTAAATTTTGAGTTTTTGCTCCCATATATAGTGAATATTTCATTAAAATCAATATGATTAAAACATCCATGTTGATCGTTTCCATGACATCATCATTGATTTATCATTTTATTACGACATCTAAGGATTCTTATTGTTGTGTAAGCCAAAAGGTGTTGCTTGTTCAGAATCAAAATTTACTGTTCTGTGCCATTTTAAAATCATATGATTTATTACACAGTTGTGGGGTGTTGGATGGCTGAATGGTTAGCACATGGGCGTTGTATCAAAAGGTCTGTCATTGAGTCAACTGGCGTGGTTTTGGTTCCCCGGTTGTACGTGACAAGGAGTAGGATCGGCTGTCCCGGGTTCTCTGGTTTGCTCCCACTGCTAAGGACCCCTACGCGCAAGTGAATTATTGAAATAAAATTGAATATGTTAATACCGAAATGACCCAGTTTGTGTTAAGTGAACATTAAACCCCATGGTAGTATGCGATTTCTATTTCCAATTTGAGGGGGTTGGATGGCTGAATGGTTAGCACTGCTGAAGACCCCTACGCGCAAGTGAATTATGGAAATAAAATTGAACCATATGTTAGTCCCAAAATTACCTAGTTTGTGTCGAGTAGAGGTTAAACCAGATTTCTCTCTCTCTCTCTATTTCCAATTTGCGATCAGTACATGATCAACATGAAAAAGTTATCTACACAAGTCTGTTTCTGTTTATTTGAATCAATGTGCATGTGGCTTAAACTGAATTTAGCCAAATACCATATTTGTTTAGGCACAAATTGATTCTCTAACTTATTTCTAAACAAAGCTCATAACCCCAGGGTACATTATTTACGTCATCTACAAATACCAGTATTAATTTCGTTCAGCATTATTGCGCAGTAAATATTGCTTTATAGTAGATGAAAAGCTACTGTGAAATTAGTGGGAAAGAAACAGATACATTAAATTTTACATTTGTATTATATTCACTACTTATATCTGTCTCCTGGGGCTGCAATGGCTCAGTGAGTAAGACTCTGGCTCACTATCTGGCTCACTAACACGACGGTCTCGGCTGTCCTGCTGTACGGGGTAGATTTCCCTCTTAGCACACAGTATGGTGTATGCCCGCCTTCTTTAGTCAAGTTGGGGCCGAAAAGTATTACGTTAAACCCTATTTCATTTCATTTTTATCTGTCCCCACTTCTTTAACCTAGAAGGATGAGAACAGTAGATGTTAAACCCCATTTCATTTAATTTTGAACTGTCCTGTCTTCCTTAACCCAGAATGAGCAGAAGAGTAGGATGTTAAACCCCATTTCATTTCATTTTTATCTGTCCCGTCTTCCTTAACCCAGAAGGTTGAGAACAGTAGATGTTAAACCCCATCAAGTTTTATTTGACCTATATCAGTTCTGTAATGTAGCAAAGTAAAGTACAGAGTAATGACTCTCATTGATAGAATCAAATAATCAATTAATTAGATCGTAAGCAAGATCTTGGTAGCATACCAGTTACAGTGATTATCTGGGATCTGCTATACTTCTGTCGCAAAAATTGCTAACACCCACTCAGTCAATAATGGTCATTTTATTTTTAAACAGAGTTTAATAAGGCATTCATGATCACAGTAATTCCAATGTTGCTCTCCTTAAAGTGCACTTCATGTTTTGTACAATCTAATAAATCAGAATTAGAGATAGTAAGCTCACTATAGAAGGAAATCAGAAACCTTAAATGTCAACAATAAAAAGAAACCTAAAATGTCAACCACAAACATGACAGATGCATAAATGGAATATCCCATTAAAATATTTTCTAATTAAAATTTCTTTTAATTAAAATATTTTCTAATTAAAATTTCTTTAATTCAAATTTCTCTAATTGAAATACTTTTGTTGTGTACCAGGTATTCTTAGTTCACATTTAGAAGTAACACTGATTTAGAATAAGTCACAAAGAAAAGGTCTTTGTTTTTGTGGTTAGGCATTGGTTTTCATTTGAACAAACCTAAGAAACAAGGGGATAGTATCAATAGGAAATTGTTTTTTAGTTATGTTCTAGACATCTTATTAACCACAAAGAAGTAAAAATCACCATTTTCTGGTAAGGACTTGCAAGAAATGTTCATTTTACCTTTCTCCATTAGTGTTCATTCTTCTCTCCTGCTGTGTTTTTCGTAAACAAATGTGCAATACAAAACAAAATTGAGTGTTTTGATAGTCTGGATTTCCGGTTCAAGAGTTGAAAAATTTTTTTTATATTAAAGTTCAGCACCTGATGGTGTAGCATCAGAGATTAGTTTTACATTTTGACCGCCCCCCCTCCCCCATCCCCCAGAATTCAGTTCTCTTCTATCAAACAAAGACTAACCTTACACAAGGAAAACTTCACACCTATGTTGAACATTCATAACAAAATCATTGGGTCCATACTGGTCAGTGGTATAAGAATCTGATTTAGTTAATGAGTCAGGGATTAATATTAAATGTTTTTATTGATAATGATCACCGTTTTAAAAAAAGAAAATTCTAGCATTTAAATTGCAGATGAACAAGACAAAATGGTTCTACTCCTATTCTCACTGCAGTAGATAAAATATCAATGGATAGTTTTTATAGTTCTGTTTTTAGTCTACACTTAACATAGTCTACACTTACTGTGTAATAATACTGTTGAAACGAAAGATTAAATGTCAGTTTCACTAATCCTGGTCCAAAAATATAAAAAAGGAGGAGATCTCAATCAGTTATGTTGATGTTTAATTGATCATGATGATCCAATCGGACATTAGGTGATTTAAGCTGTCGATCATTTCAAAGGTGTTCTTTAAGTCGATGTTGGTCAAGGGATTAAACTTAATTCCAAGAGGAAATAATTTCATGCTTAATTTCCTTAAATCATGACTTTTATCTAATTTGTATCTTTAAAGGGTTTTCATATCGCAGTCCAATTACTTGCTGCTGATTATGGTATGACCAATCACTGTCAACGATTGTGTCAGGGACGAACTATTATCTGTCATTTTCATCAATTAGCCAAAGATCATAGATTATTTGGGAATAAAAATTCCACGGGAAATCTTCCGGTAGACAGTTTATTTCTAACGTAAATCAATATATAACAGTCGATAGATGCTTGATCCTGATAAAACTGACCTATGCCCATGGACACAATAATTAAATTGTTTTTAGCACTCTTATCTATAGGTTTATTCCAAATTGATATTAATAATTCTGCATTGATGTTCGTCCGTTCAGATCTAATCAATTAGTCATGTCCAGGGTATTTATTAAGCATCTTTATCCAATATTCCTATTTTCTCATTAATTATTTCCCCGATACAAATTATTAAATTGTCGATATCGTGAATAATATGATTAACCTGACAGGTAAAGGAAAATTTGATATATCAAATCTACATTTTATTTATTTTACGGGGATTTTATAGCTTAATGAATTAAATGGACGTCTGAGAAAGGTAATGCTTGAATATGTAACATTTTATTGTTTCAAGAAATTTATTTGTCGCTTAGGACTCAACACACGTTTCTATATTTTGATATAAATTTTATGAGGATCTGCTTGGTAATAGTTTGTTTATGTATTTGGTTAATTCACAAATCTACTTTTTCCTATCAAAAAATAAGACATTAAACTGCATTCCATTCATCCATTCTTCATATTGATTAAAAACCTAGAGTTTGATATCTGCTGTTGACAGTTTAATTTAAAAAAAAAACATTGGATCACTGAAATCGCCTTGGGAATAGCAGATTGGTCTGTCTAGGAATGTATCACCTTTCTTTAATTTTCTTCATGGAAATGAAATGGGGTTTAACGTCCTACTTTTCTGCTCCGACTGGGTTAATGAAGACGGGCATATGCCTTACAGTGTGCTATGAGGGAAATTTTGCCGGGGAAGGGGCACTATGGTAAGGTCAACTCTTATATTGAATGGCAACTGCCAAAGGATCAATGTGTACACAAGACCTCAGTTTATTGTCCCATCCGAACGATTATGTTGTCCCTTGCCAGGCCCTCTATCTTGCACCACTGACAAGGTGGAACCACGGCGGAAAATCCTGATGAACTTTCTCAGCCAATGCAGGGATCGATCACAGGACCTCCCAGGTAACGAGTAAATGTCTTACTCACTGAGCCATCATGGCTCCCCTTTCTTCATG